GCATTGATTCGAACGTGCGACCGAAGCGCTGTCGTCGCGAAGTCTGAACGCTGCCTAAGAGGTTACGCGTTCTCCGAAAACGTTAGTGGGCGGGGTTAGTCGAGTCTTGTCTAGCCGCTGTTCGCGTGTTTTCCAAACTCGAAAAACTCTCAGATGGCTTCTTTACATTCCTTTGCATGTTTCTTCCATTTGACGCACTCTTCGCTTTTGCAAAGTATGTACTCGGTCTTGGCAAAGCTATTATTCCAGCAGTCGTCTCCTTCATGGTTCTATGTAACGATCTTTTCTTTCCAGAACGTCACAAGCAACATCATTCATGATTCAGTCCGTGTAGATGGGCGTGGTCACGGAACCATTCACGACGTTCAGCTCAGTGAGAAAGCAGCCATTCATGAAGAAACCGATTCACCAAGGGTACAGCAGTATTCATCACAATGTTCTTACAAAGGTTCATCAAAAGACAAGTTTTCAGGTTGCTGAAATACGCGCCAAGTACGAGAACAAGTTGCAAGAAGTCAACGAGTTGAAGGACCGCGTGAGTATTGTACAGAGAAGAGTCGAAGTGCTGGACAAGCTAGTCGAAGGAGTGAGTTTCCATACAAAATACTGAGCTGTCTTTCAGGCGGTAGACCAGTATAGGTCCTCAGTTAGTCGGTTAGGAACATCCCTTGTCGCATGACAAGTCATTGAGCGTGGGTGGGAAGAAGTTCCGGGCTGGGTCGCTTCTCTCGGAATACGAAAGCCTCTTGCATAAAGGCGGGGTTCAACCGCACCGGAACTTCTCTCTCTTTGAGCTTAGATAAAAACTTCATCCCGTTCCACAATGCCGTCCAACTTTCGAAAAACCTGTTTTCATTACGCTATGCATACTTTAGGCTGGTAACAATGTTGTCTGCCTACCGAAAGATTCGCGAGAACCCTTCCTTCTCAACAAGGACACACTGGAAAGTCTCAAAGAGTTTTACTCCTTCTATGAAGAAAGCTCGTCGTCAGTTCGCTCCGGTAAGCTTACGGAAAGTTATCCATCTAGCAGATCTCGTTTATCGTTTACATTCTGACTCTGTGGTTGGAGACAGTGTATAGTGTAGTTCATTGCGGACGGTTGGGCGTGTTCGTGCGGCTGCGTTTGGCGCGGTGCCAAACTCGTTGTTCAAGCGAGCAAATGACAATACTGTATCATACCTTTCGTATTACTTGTTTTCTACTGCTTTTTGTCGCATGCCCGTTTCAACAAGAAGGCAGAGAACAGCTCAAAGAGGGTGACACACTCATACTGGCTGACACGCCCAACCGTCCGCAGCGAAGTAGAGTGTAGCTCCTGCATAATTTGATTTGAAGTGCTCCTCGTCAGAAAGAATCGGCACATTTTGGTAAGGTAGGGGGAAGCATTGTTATTGCCGCCCGCGTGGCGAAACATTTTGCGATTGGCTATAAACTTCTCTAAGGTAGCGTTCAGACTTCGCGACGGCAGCGCTTCGGTCGCGCGTTCGGCGCGATCGATGCGCATGCTTTCTACTGCATCGATCGCGTCGAACGCGCGATCGAAGCGCTGCCGTCGCGAAGTCTGAACGCTGCCTGAAGCTGCCAAACGGCGCGAGCTTCATTCCCGATTTATTCCGGAACACATTATACGCGGGAATCCGGCAGTAGGGTGGTATGTTGTTTCTCGGTGGTGTGAGGTATTTGGCCTGAGAATTTTTCTTGATAGTCTCGCTTCTCTCCTCAACTCCTACACGGCGGCACAGCCGGAGCTTTATATGACTGGTATCTTTGATAGCTCAATTTAGTTGCTTGGTGATGACCCACAACCCGCGTCGGGCGGACGGCATTTTTTTTTCTTGGAGAAAGTGGGAAACTTCTCTGGAAGTGGGATAGGATTGGAAGGAGGGGGAAGGGGTCGTACTGCAAACATTTCCCCAGCGATGAGACATGCCCTTTACCGACACATTCACTTTTGACTTCATTGTATGGTGAAGTTTCGGTCTCCGAATCACATCGTTAAACATTGTTAGAATCATTTTTGCTTTTTCAGAACTACGCAAAGTTAATAAGATCCTTGAAAAAGCCGAGAGGGAGTTGGGTGCTTTACAACAGGAACTGAATAGAGCTGAGTCGGACTGGAGAGCGAGGCTATACAGCAAGTGAGTATATATAAGAGCTTCTTTTATAAGGCTGTTCGATTGGTCTTGCTGCGTATTTCACTTGACGGTACCCATCATTAAGGTCAATCATCGTTACGTTGGAAAGTGAGAAAGGTGGCTCCGTTCAACTAGAATTAACCTATCAAGTATATAACGCGAACTGGCGGCCCACTTATGATTTGCGTGTCGACACGACTGGACAGCAGTCACTCAAGGTAAAAAAAAT